AATTTCAGCTCCTTTGATTTTTGATCAGAAATAACTGACTGACTGTAACCCTTTTTTGGTCGAAGTGGAAATTCGTTGCTTCAGATCGCACATCTTGTGCAGAATTTTTCGCTGATTCCGAATCCGTTTTCAAAAGTTGCGGAACCACTCAGATTAAAAAGTTACAAGCGTTTTTAATGCCCAAACTGCCACAAATCGCTTACTTTAAAGCGTTCTAAAAAATCCGTAAAATACTTTTGGGGGGAGGATAAGGCGTTCTCCGCGGTAAAAAAAGGTGCTCTTCCGAATGGGCTATCTCACGTACCCATAGCTCAAGATTTGCAAAAAAGTTTTTTTGGCGGACGCTTGCCCAAGACGGCCGATTTTCGAAATTTTAGAAATTTTAGATATAGAATCGAAAAATTCTGCACAAGTTGTGCTATCTGAAGAAACGAATTTCCACTTCGACCTTAAGAGGGTTACTTAAGGAAAGAGCTGACAAAAAACTGAGCAAAAAATCTCAAGATTTTCAGGTTTTCAAAAGAAATATAAAGGCAATATAAAAATGTATTCCAGTGATAAAAACCCTGCTAAAAGTCCAGTTCCCCAAATTCGAACAAGATCTTCACGTTAATTTTAAATTAAAAATTACCGCTTGATTTTATAGGGAATTCGGAGACCCAAATCAGAAAAAAAAGTTCATCAGAAGCATCAGTTTCATCAGAATTTTATGCCATAATTCTTAAGGAAATGAACAAATGCATCGTTTCAGGCGGAAGCCTACATCACCAACATGGACATCACAAAACCCCAAAACGATATGCCGGCCGATTCGTCGAAAAAGACGTTGCGAGCACCGACGTGAGTTTTTAAGGGTATTCAAAAATCGGCGGCATCGCGCTTTTACATGACGTAATCGGTTGGCTTTTAGCCGAAGGCCCATTCAGTGAATAGACTATAAATCCAAAAATTCCAGATTCCCGACCCCTACGATACGAAAACCATTCGAATGCGGAAAGCTTGCGCCAGCTTCGATTCCGCTGTCAGCCAAGATCCAGACGTATTTGCTAAAGGAGTCCGAGATAGCTGATGATTTAAAGGTGAGCCCCATGCTCTATTTCAGGGCCCAAAAAAACCTTTTTGCGCCGCGAAACGTCCACATTTACATTGCGTAACCTGTTACGTGATTTTTTACGCGCGTGTTGCTTATCGCCATCCCGATAGAAGAAGAGTACCGTACCGCCAGAAAACTTTCGCATAGAGCTAGAGAAAACGCTAAGAAAACCCTCTATTTTTAGTCATTTGGGCCCGACTCGAAGGAGCAAGGCGCGGAACAGCGAGTACGCCGAGAGGTCGTGCTCAGCAAAGAATCGATTGTATTACAGCAGCAAGAGGTAAAGTTAATTCTATGTAATTACCCCAGACATGGAAATTCTGTGAAAGCAAGGGCCTAGTCTTTGTGAAGATCGAATCTTGAGTTCTAATTCCTGTTCTTTCATACTTTTGAACCGTTAAATTGATCACGCCAGGAGAATCCCAAGTTTTCGAGAGAAATCTAGTGAAATTGCTGACCGGAAATTTATAGTTTTATCCGCACCTTTTCAGCTACAAGCCCGGCGGGAGGTACACGTCGAGACGAAGGAGTACGGCAGGTATCCGCTAAAATCGATACGATCAACGATGAGGTTGGTTTGAAGGGCCAACACCTAGATTCACTTCTTTTAGGTGGTCCTATTCAGAGTCGACGTTCACGTGGGATGTGCGGGTAAGATCTGCGCGTCGCTGTCGGATTTCGCCCTCTCCCTCCGAGGGGCGAAGTGATCATCCACACGAAGAAGAGGGCCAATCAATGCGCACTGGCCAGGGCCCCGGAGGCCCATGCACTCTTCGCTTGTATCAAATGTATTTCTCACCCTCAATCTCTCCCTCTCTCCCGTCGCCATTTGCTCAACTTATTTCGGGTCAAACGCGTCAAATTTTTTGTTAATCAAAGACACGGCCATCTGTGATAATAGCCAAGCCAACGCCTCTCTCTCTCTCTCTCTCTCTCTCTCTCTCTCTCTCTCTCTCGCTCTCTTTCTCTCGCCTCTCATAAAATCACTCCAAAACGGGTCTTGCCAGGATTTTTAGGCCGAATTTTTTATGCAATTTTCCGCTGATAAGCATATTTACGCTACTGTAGATTTTTAATACTCACTCGTGAATCTCCGTGAAATACCCATATTGTGCTATGCTCTCTCTCTATCTCTCTCCCTCTCGCTCTGTCTCTCTCTCTCCCGCTCTCTCGCCGAACCAAACCACCCCATTACCTCCATTATGATACCCATTTATTTTGTGGATTTTTTGCATTTAACATGTAGTATCAATAAGATACAAAACACACAACTATTGCTCAACTAGCAATAGCGTTGAGTGAGAGATAAAATATTTGCAACAATATGTATGATGCTACAGTATATTTCGTTGAGATCGAATAGGGAAGGGGACACGCAATCAAGGGAGGGAAAGGTTGGAAAATCAGGCAAAAAAGTACGATTTTTAAGAAAAAATGAGCAATGAAAATTTAATAGGCTTAAAAACTAGTAATACAATGCGCCTTGACTAGACTTTTTGGCAAAATGGGACTCGAAAAATCACAGTTGACAATTTTTAAAGGGACTGACATGGTACGGCGATGGAATTTGGCCTGTTACCGTAGTTTTCGATTGTAATTTCTCGACAGGACCCGCGACACGCAACGCGCGCCTGAATTTCTATAGCGTAATGGGTTAAGGCTTCGTCGCGATCGTCACATGGCAAGCGTCGCGTGTCGCGGCAAAATCTCGACCGAACCCAACGCCAGACAATTCCATATCGCTGCCTTGCTCGACCCTTTAAAAGAACTTGGAAACTTCGAGAACCCTCTTCTTCTGCTTATTTTGCAGACAGCGGCTCCTTCTCCGTCTCATTCGGGTAGATTTTGCCCTGCTCGATGGGGTGAAGCCGGTCCTGAAAACTCCCACATAGCTAAACCCTTGGAAAAACACCCTGACCTCATTTCCCGGCTCGATCTCCTTCCTGAAGACGTCATGCCCAGCTCGCCCACCAGCACGATGAATTCGATGACGGTGATCACGGAGAAGCCTGAGAATTCGGGGAATACTCAGGAACGGGTTCGAAATTCTACCCATCCAGAGTCCGAGATGACCTCCAAAATCGGCGATGAGGTTGACCATCTGAAAAATATGCTTTCCTCTCACTTCCTCTCACACTCTCGCACATTCTCTCTCTCGTACGCTTCTCTCTCTCTCTCTCTCTCTCTCTCTCTCTCTCTCCTCTCTTCTCATTCTCTCTCGGTCTCTCGCTGACTATATATCTCACTCTCCCTATCGCGCTCTCCCTCTCCCTCTACCGCGCCCTCTCCCTCTCTCTCTCACACTCTCTCTTTTGCTCTATCTCTCTCTCTCTTGCAATAAAGACCTACGCCGTACGCCCTCGGTCTCCTGCAGGAATTCGTAGTTGAGCTGCTCGTAGAAGATTTCCTAAAGGATGTTTTTTCGAGGGTTTCGAGAAAATCCGTCCTTTGTTAAATTTTGTGCATTCGCGAAACGCAGCGCGTGCCCTATTTTAATTGCGTAACGGATGAGCATTGCTTCGATACCGTCAAGCAGCGCGTTGCGTCGCGTGTCGCGGGCGCGAGAAAATACAGATTCTGACGGTTGTTATAAATAATGGGATAGAAGCATGGTTTTTATGAAATACACGTGCTAAAAACCGACGATCATGGCCGCATTCAGTCGATAATAATCCTCACATTCTGCCGTGCTCATCCCCTCACAGTCGCCAAGCTGAAAATCGAAGATCAGAATTTTTTAAATTTAAAAAATCGGTACCACCGGGGTATGGATTTGGATGCGATCGGTCATTCCAGGGAAAAGGAGAAAATATATTTTTTTGGGGTCGACATTCTAAACAAAAATCGAGAATTCTTGCGGGGGGATATACGAAATCGAATTTTCGAGCCAATCACTCACCCTTTCAGCCGCACTCTAAAACGAATCGTAATGTAATGCCATTAAATATTAAAAATCACGAGAAATTTTAGAAAAATGGGGTTGGAAAATGGCACACAAGCAAAATGATCATCGCCGGGGATTACAAGTCGGGGGCAGCTGATAGAAAAGAGCAGGCAAAAATGGTCTAGTATGGCTAGTGTAAGAAAATATTTAAAGGGTTTACCCGATCCATTTGGGCCTGGAAATAAGTAAATAAAAATTAGTTAAGTTTTTAATCACTTTTGGACGAGAAACCCCTAATTTTAATGCTTAAAATTTGTTAAAAATTAACAAAAAATATAGTTTTATTGTTGTTTGCAATAAGACGCGCTATTTTAACACCAAAACTGCGCTGACACCGGCCCTTTCAATTCGCCATAAATTTTAAAACTACCAAAATCAGTTAAAAACTTACGTCAGTGGCACCTGACGGCCATTTACTCGCCGAAAACGTCACCTCGAACAGGTCCTGTTTGCAGCTCTAAAACACAGAATTATGGTATAGAGATTAGGGCAATAAACCCTGATAATACCCCAAAAAATCGCCAAGGCCCGACCTGTTTGCAGTAGCAATTCTCCATGTCCTGCGTTGCGTGGTGGAAATTGCTGGCATCACCCACGCGACTTGCCAGGCAGTTTCCTAAATTTGGAAGATTTTAGGTAAATTTTCTAGCTTAAAGGGAATAGTAAGCGTCAAAATGGACCCCTAGCCTCGACTAGGTATCGACAACTACGCGTCACGCCGAATGGCACCTTATGGCTGAAATTCGTAGCGCTATGGGTCTCAAAATGGGCCAAAAATCATTGTTTGACGATACTTTTGCGCTAAGCGTAGCTGTCGAGACCTAGTCGATAGAGGAGGGTCTATTTCGGCGCTTCCAGAACTTCTAAAGGGACCAGGACGCCTGACACACACAAACACCCTCTAGGAATCTCCCACTCTCTTTCTTTCGCCCTCTTGCTCACTCTCTCACGCTCTCTCTCTCTCTCTCTCTCCCTCTCTCGCTTGGTGAGACCAAAAATCTTATAGACACCCACTTTCTTGACTGCTAAACGCCGAACAATGACGCTTCCCAATCGGGACCGGAAATCGTGGATCTCCACAGCCACACTCGCGAAGCAAGGCATTTTGGAAGCACGATCGGTAGCAACCCTGAAATCGCGTGTTTCATACAGTAGCCTGGAGCTACCTCTGGATGATAGTCGTATCCCTGATAGATGTATTCATTTCTGCCAGTCATATTTCTGTCCGTCTCGCAGTCGCCGTACGGCTCCGACATGCGCTCCACGCGTTTCTGAAGGTGGGCGATAGAGTCAGAGAGGAAATGAGAGTGAGCGAGAGAAAAAGAGAGAGAGAGAGACAAAGAAATAAGAGATAGAGAGATGGATACCTACCTTTTTGATACCAAAACTGCTGGCAAATCCCACGGGTGCGCTGTAGCCAAAAGTATCCGGAAACGGGTACTCGCTGGGCGAATGGATCGACAATCTGACTCCGGAAGACTCGGAGGTTGACATGTAGTCGGAGGTGTTCACGAAGAGAAGTACTCGGATGCCTAGAAAAAGCAAGAGTTTGCGCGCGAGAGAGCGAGAGAGAGCGAGAGGGAGTGAGAGAGAGAGAAAGAGGGAGAGAGAGAAAGAAAGAAAGTGAGAGAGAGAGAGAGAGAGAGAGAGAGCGAGCTCGGAATCACTTACCATACATCGGCCCCGCACGGCTACTCGTGAAATTGCTGTTGACGTCGTGGTTGAAAGTGTAGCAGTTGCCGAACTCCGGGTCGACGTGGCGGCGGAAATCGCTGAAACCTGGTTTTCTTCAGGTTTTCATGATAATTTTTCAGTTTTCATCGAAACTAAACCGATCTAAACACTATCTTAGCGCTAAAAGATCATTTTTAAAAATGATTTCTCTCTGCCTACGTATCAATATTGCACTGCTCCCCGTTGAACGAGCACATTTCCACGAATTCCGGCAGATCGTAGCTGAAAAGGCAAATGTGACAAAATTAGGGCTGTGGATTTCATTTCACTGTCCCTTTAAAACAAACAATTCAAACGAAAATTACCTCAATGCTACTCTCTGCTCCACCGACAGCGCCGCCATCGTGAACATCAGGTTTTCTTTCGCCCTCGTGAGCATCGCCACACCGTCCGTCATTCCCTAGGAGGGCGGGTGTAGTTTGCAGTTTCGCTTTCTCTCTCTCTCTCTCTCTCTCTCTCTCTCTCCCTTACCCCAAAACCCATCGCCTTCAGCGTCTCCGGATCGTACACACGCGCATTCTGCCCGGGTTTATGGTAGTTGGCTGGAAAGTAACGTACTTTGAGGTATCCTAATTTTTATGCTTTTTTATGCGTCTTTCGTCCTCATGCCCCTCGCGTTAGCCAATGACAAAAGCTCGATACTTGTGCTTGTGGTGGTTGTGGTAGTCGATGTACTCGTCGTACTCGTCGTCGTCGTTGTAGTGGTACTAGTGGTGGTGCTGGTGGTGGTAGTAGTTGTGGTGCCTAACATGCTCATGTCTACAGAGGCTATACTAAAGGCTATCTAATATGAAAATTCACTCTATAACAAATTCTAAAAACCTTCTCTTTGCCAGCTCCTAGCTATGCCGAACTTTTTCCACAATTCTTTTTCTAGGACTGTAAGTGGCGATCGACCCCTTATTTCGGCTAGGTCTAGACGGCAAATGTGAACAAAACTTAAAGGTTTTAGAATTAAAGTAGCGACGATGACGACGAATCGACGATGGCTAACGAGATATTACACGTCATTTGGAGCCCTAAGTACCCAATTTGGCGATCCCCAGTGGCAAAAAAAGATGGATTTTCACGCTTGCCAGTCCTTTAAACGAGATGCTTCGAAGTTTTCAACGCTAACTTAAACAACGCAAGCGTTGGGATCCAAACTACCGCTTCAAAATCGATTTCCCCTTAATCAAAATTATACTAAAATGTTACTGGTAGTAGTCGTTGTGGTAGTCGACGTCGTCGTCGTGGCCGGCGCTACAAAAAGCCAATAGGTATCAGCCGTCATTCCGATTCAAAGGTCCGTCGCGATCGATCGATTAGACAAAAATTACTTGTCGTAGTTGTGGTAGCGGGGGTAGTGGTAGTGGTAGTAGTGGTTGGGTCGGCTAAAAATGACGACATAAGAATTTTAAAAAAATATCTATTAAGTTTCTAGATTTAAAACCAGTGCTACAAAAGCTACAACTAAAGAAAAAATTCTAAATCTCGGTTTTGATGAAAAAAATTACTTCGATTCGACGGTTTCCACAGTTTGCGGATCTCCTGTGGGGCCATGCTGATACAGTAGGGCTTCTGAAAAAGGCATTCATTTATTATGTACTTATATTTAGGTGAAAATCCATGGTGTATACTTTTCAAATTCAGTGCCCTCTATTTCGTGCCATAAATACCGTAGTAATCAGGTGGCTTGGGTTATGAAACTAACCAGGTACCACAATCCATGGTAGTATCTCTAAAGGGGTGATGAGAGGAAAGGTTAGTTCGTTAAAGAGAGAGAGCTAGAGGGAGAGAGAGATGAGCGAGCGTGAGTGAGAGATGGAGAGAGAGTTTGTTAATAAGTTAGTAACAGTTTGAAAGAATATTTAATACTATTATTTCGAAGCATTCCCGTGCACCTACATCGTCGACCTCATAGTCACTCGTCCTGTTCCGGCATTTGCATTTCTGAGGTTTCTGAATCGGAGCTTCATCCTGATCGTCCAACGAAGCGTCGCAATACCCCTCCGAAGTACATGATGGGCACAAATGGTCGTACCAAATGCTAAAATGGACTAATTGAAAAAGCGTCCAGTCTAGGAATACCATTCAGAACCCTCAACCGAAAAAGCAAAAAAGCAAAAAGTGGATTAGCCGCATAGGGGGCTCGAACCCCTGACATTCAGATTAAAAGTCTGACGCTCTACCAACTGAGCTAATGCGGCACTGGGGGAGGGGCGCAGGGAGGGCCTCTTCCCTGTGTGTGAGTGTCCACTCACCTCTGGTTGAAGCAAGGCCATACCTGCTACAGATCGTAGTCGTACGTGCACACGCATTTCGCGTCCTGGAATGTTTATGTGACATAATGGGTTGAAACTGGCAAAAATTGTATCGAAAAGGGTAAAATAACCTTAAATTTCCGAGAGATATATTTCCAGCGTAATAAAATGGCAAATTACACATTTTTCAAACTTTCCTGTTCTGTTGATCAGCGCCTTCAGGTAAAAATAAGTTTCTTAATTTTTAGAACATGATTCTAACGTTAATAATCTTGAGCGCGTTTTTCAGATAAATTTTGATAGCGCAATCGATTAGCGAAAAACGTATCTTCAGCTTTTCGATCTTCATAAACTTATGAAAAGCAATATATTTTTTTGTAATGTTTACTACTCTAATTTTCAGAAGATGGTTGGTAAGTATTTTTTCATAACGTAATCAGATGTGCAATACGCCTTTTTGCAAAAAAAGATGCTTTTCTGGTAGGGGTTCCAAAAATTAAAAAACCCCAAGTTTAAGCCATAGCTTTTAGTTCTGTAACATTTCTCTTGTCTCTAACTTTCAGAAAAAGCTTAACCAGTTAAACTCATACCTGATGCGATGGCGGACTCTCAGACCGGATACATTCCATGTCCAGCTTCCCCACACATTTACAGTGCGCCTCGATGGCCTCGTATCGTCTTTTGTCTGTAAAATAATGAATTTCGCCATGAAAATAAGAGCATACAAGGTAGATACTATAAACTCCTATTGAAATTTTATGCTATAGACAATTTTACCTGTCTTTTAATACGTGCGTGTCGAGCGCCGCCAGCGCGTTCCAATTTTTCCACCTCGTCCTGGATCTCGTCGGCGAATAGGTCACGCACCCTGAAAATTGGATTTTACCTCATGGCAGGAAGTACAAACTGCAAACTACATAACACCATAGAACGCAAACTACAAACTACATAAAGCCCGGCCACTGGCCACCAATTACACACCAAACAAACATTAGCTAGACGATAGGCCACAAACTACACAAAGCTATTCAGGCTACAAACTGCATAAATCCCAACTATGCGACATGGTATGCACGACAAAAAGTGAGAAACTGGACAAATCAAAGCAAAAAGACGGAAAACTATCGGCGACAAACTACAAACCTTTGCATCGCAATCGCCGCCTGCTCACGCCTCAAATATTTCGGCTTGTCGCTGTCGGATTTACTTGATGTTTTCGCGTTGTCCCAGAAACGTCCCATCTAAACCAGTGTTTTTCATAAGGGCAGAAATAAAATTACTTACCGTATCCTTAATACTCGGCACCATTCGAATCAGACTTCTCTTGTAGGGGTTCAGGTTGCAAAATGTGATCGCCGGAAACATGACGTCGTCGAATTTCAGCTGGAAATGGAATCGTTTTGGCAAAAAATCAGCGCGATCTTTGCGGCAAAATGCATTTTCTGATTTTTTTGTAGCTTTTTTTATCTTTTCTCTTTTCATAT